AAAACACTCAAGTAACTAGTTACTTTTATTTATATTTTATATATATATATATATATATTTTTTTTAGCCAACATTCAAAACAGGCGCATGCTCTAAACGTTAGGACGTGTTTAGCTGTCATCTTAATCTTAAATCCTTGAAAGTTTTTTTTAATGTATGTACATTTATATGCGTTTATGTATGTATTATGTCATCTTTGTAAAATTACAAAAAACGAATTACCACTTATGTGTGGTGTTTCGAATGCAGCGTCTATGAAGCAGGACAGTAAATCTGACATTCTCTCTTCTGTCTGCCGTTATCAGTCTCGCACTATGTTTTTCCTTTTTCTGAAAGTCTTGATAACACCATTCTGGAATTTTCTTTTATTATTTAAGCAAATAGGATTGTAAGAAAATTAGTTTGAAAATCTGTTGTTCTCTCCCATTCAATGCGCTTAAGTTTAACCAACCATGACCCCAGTAGCCTTCTGCTACTGAGAAACCTGGAAATGTGAAAAGGGTCTATAGCAGGGGTGTCCAAACTCAGTCCTGGAGGGCCGGTGTCCTGGAGAGTTTAGCTCAACCCTAATCAAACACACCTGAAGCAGCTAATCAAGCTCCTACTAGATATACTAGAAACTTCCTGGCAGGTGTTTTAAAGCTAAGCTCAGCAGGAATCCGGTGTTTGGACACCCCTTGTCAATAGAAGCCTCTCTCAACATAACCTCTTGAACGCGATATTTGTAAACCAATCTGAATCATATTTATTACTATTTGACAGTAACAGAGGAATGCTACCAAATGTAGTAATGTACCCCAAAACTTTATTTAAGTAAATGTTATTTGTGGTAACACTATTTTGATGGTCCATTTGAGTATTAGTAGACTGTCTGCTTAATATTTGCTGATACTGCTCCCTCAACAGACTATAAGAAACTTTATAAGTACATGTTGTCAACTTACACTAACCCCAACCTAACAGTCTACTTGTAATCTAATGAGAATTCGTTGGCACTTAGATGCAGTCTAACCTCAACAAACGGACTATCAAAATAAAGTGTGACCTAATTCGAACTCACCTGTGGTCTTGTGTGGCGTTGAAGATGTTTTCATCCACTCTGGGCTGATTTTAAGTCTTAATTTTGCCCCAACTTTCTCTGTGTTTGAGCAAATGGAATGATTTTTGGTGGCAGATTTCATTTCAAGACATATTTTAAGAAAATGCTTCGTAATTTTTTAAATAACTCAACAATACACTGGCCAAATTGACTATTTTGTTGTGTTGGGGTCTGTTTTTGCCCTATTTGCTTCCATTATAATTACATTTTTGATTGCAAAGCTTTGACACCATATAGTCATGCATTTTTGATTGTTGTTGGGGTTTTTTTCTTTTGGGAAAAGCTAAAATTTCAACCTTAAAAAATGACATTTTTATATAAAAAAATGTGATTATAATGAAAGTCAATGGGGTAAAAACAGCCACCAACATAACCAAAGGGTAGTTGATTAGAACAATACACATTTTTAGGCATAATTCCAGAATGTGCATAAAAATAGGTGTATGGAAACACAGCTATTGATGACGTGGTGTTGATTTCCCGCTCTCTGTGCTCATGCTGAGTTAGGATATGAGCGGGAAGCTCCTCTTTGGGGGTGTCAGTGGCCGGTTTTGGCTGCTCTTCATCTCCAGCTGGTCTCTGATGGCCGTTTGTGTGCCAGACGCAGCGGGGTTGACGAACACCTCGCCCACTCGCCGTCACAGTCGCCCGCTGCTTTATTCCAGCGCTGAGGGGCGTCAGTCACACCTGAAGGTGATGCCCGGCTCAAACTGTGTATTCCTCTCAGCTTTACATCACAGGCTGATTAGTTGAAGGATTCTCCTCTTTGGGTGGATTTAATCATAAGCTGAATTGACGGCCAATCAGACGTTGTTCATGGAGCTGATTGGCCAATCAGATTCAGGGTTTCATGGCTCTGAGAATGTCTTTGTAGGTTTGAGTGTGATTTGAACTCCTGCTGGATCTCGAAAGCAAGACTCATCCCCAGGAATGACATTTTTGAGGAGTAATTTTAAACTTTTGAAAAATATTGAATTGTAAAAATAATGAATTGATAAAAAGACAAAAATGATTTAAAAATTCAGAGAGATTTACAGTGCATATGGAAAGTATTGATAACGCTGGACTTTTTCCACACTTATTTATGTTTCAGCCTTATTCCAAAATAGATTACATTCATTCATTTCTTCAACATTCTACACACAATCCCCCATAATGACAATGTGGAAAAAGAGTTTTTGAAATTGTTGAAAATTTATTAAAAATAAAAAAGCTGAAAAATCAGATGTACATCAATATTCACTGCATTTACAGTGAAAGCTCTAAACTGAGCTCAGGTACATTCTGTGTCCACTGATCATTCTTGAGATGTTCAGCAGCTTCACTGGAGTTCACCTGTGCTCAGTTCAGTTAAGTGGACATGATCTGAAAAGGCATACACCTGTCTGTATAAGGTCCTAGGGTTGACGGTGCATGTCAAAGCACAAACCAAGCATGAAGACAAAAGAACTGTCTGTAGACCTCCGAGACAGGATTGCCTCAAGGCACAAGGCTGGGGAAGGTTACAGAAACATTTCTGCTGCTCTGAAAGTTCCAATGAGCACAGCGGCCTCCATCATCCATAACTGGAAACCACCAGAACTCCTCCTAGAGCTGGCCGGCTATCTGAGTGATCGAGGGAGAAGGGCCTCAGTCAGGGAGGTGGTCAATAACCCGATGGTCACTCTGTCTGAGCTCCAGCGTTCTTCTGTGGAGAGGGGAGAACCTTACAGAAGGACAACCATCTGTGCAGCAATCCATCAGGCCTGTAGGGTGGCCTAACGGAAGACACTCCCCGCCTGGAATTGCCAAAAGGCATTCGAAGGACTCTCAGAGCATCAGAAACTAAATTCTCTGCTCTGATGAGACTAAAATTGAACTCTTTGGAGTGAATGCCAGGCGTTACGTTTGGAGAAAAGCAGGCAGCGCTCATCACCAGGCTAATAGCATCCCTACAGTGAAGCATGGTGGTGTTGGCATCATGCTGTGGGGATGTTCTTCAGCAGCAGGAACTGGAAGACTAGTCAGGATAGAGGGAAAGATGAATACAGCAATGTACAGAGACATCCTGAATGAAGACCTGCTTCAGAGTGCTCTTGACCTTAGACTGGGGCGATGGTTCACCATCCAGCAGGACAATGACCCAAACACATCGCCAAAATATCAATGGAGTGGCTTCACAACAACTCAATGAATGTCCTCGAGTGGCCCAGCCAGAGCCCAGACCTAAATCCTATTGAACATCTCTGGAGAGATCTGAAAATGGCTGTACACCGTCGCTTCCCATCCAACCTGATAGAATTGGAAAGGTACTGCAAAGAGGAATGGGCAAACATTCCCAAAGACAGGTGTGCCAAGCTTGTGGCATCATATTCAAAAAGACTCGAGACTGTAATTGCTGCTAAAGGTGCATCAACGAAGTGTTGAGCAAAGGCTGTGAATACTGATGTACATGTGACTTTACAGCTTTTTATTTTTAAAAGAATATGAAAAAAACTGCACATCGTCATTATGGGGGATTGTGTGTAGAATGTTGAGGAAATGAATGAATTTAATCCATTTTGGAATAAAGGCCCGTGCACACAGAGACGTTTTTTAGCTCGCGTTTTTCGTCGACGTTTAACGCCTTGTGACTAAATAATGGGCGTCAATGTGATCGTGCACACCAACACGCAAAACGCCAGGCGCAAAAGCGTCATTTTTAAAGAAACACTTCATGCTCGTTTTTTTGTTTTGACTCGCCGCATCAAAACCTTCTCCAGATCAGCACTTTTGTTCACGTGCACGGAGCTGCTGAAGTTACAGTAAACAGCACTTGGAGGCGCTCAAGCGCAAAACTGTCAATGCGAGCGCACATTGAAGAAGATGCCCAGAGGTGATATGAACGTGGAGCTGCTTATTGCTCTGAACAATAATCATTTCTTCATCATCGCTAGAGCTGGAGCTGCTGCCTGAACCGCCCATGCTTGTTCGAGTCACCAGTAACTTTAACAACAAGCGTTCGAACTTCCTCTTCTCCTCTTCTTCTGTGTTATAAGTGGGTGTCAGAAGCTTATAGTTGTGTAGCGCCATCTAACGTCAAGGAGTGATTTTGCATACTGCTTGACACCAGTGAAAATCACTTGGGTTTGACTACGGAAAAACGTCTCGTAAAACGCTGCCGATAAACGCCATCGAAGAGCGTGTAGGAGCCTTAAGGCTGTAACATAAATAAGTGTGGAAAAAGTGAAGCGCTATCAATACTTTCCGCATGCACTGTATAAAATATATTGAATGTCAAGTTAAGACTTTAAAATAAGTTTCCATTTATAAACATCAGTCTTCATATTTTAACATGAACTAACAAGAGAGAAATATTTAAACTGCATCTGTTAATCTTAGTTTATAAGTTAATGATTGGTGCATTTTTAAGGAAGGTGCTCATCATTAATATTAATGAATGCATTCGCTAACGTTAACAAATGATAGCTTAAGTGCCATCTACAACCTTCACATTACGCTGAGCTCTTCATCAGCACATACCGCTGCACATCACCACCAGACTCCTCTAATCTGCATGTGCGACAGAACGCAGGCGTGCTATTTTTATCCGCTGCAGATCAAGTCGTCAGTGTGTTTTAATTGCAGGGACAGATGTGAAAGTGTAAAGAAACGTTGATATGAATGTTAATGCTGTGCTTCCCCTCAGTGTTAGTAGCGTGTCCCGGCTGCATGTTGAGCCCGCCATCTCCTGCTCTGTCTCATAGTAAATTTGCCGTTTGGTTTTGTCATTGTAGTTGTCTTTTTATTTTCGTTTACGTCAATTTATTTTCTGTTCTTTTTCTTTCTTCCTTGTTCTTTTGTTTTTTCCTCGCCCTCCCCGATCTCTATCTTCCATTTCCCCCCCCCTTGTGACCCCTTTGTTGCACACTCACTCTTGAAGACGTTGCCCTTCCTTCTACTGTCCCTTCATTGACCGCTGCCACTACTGACCATGTAGCGTCCAGTGGGTCCGAGCGCAGCGGCCCGACTCCCTCCGCCCCGCGGGATGTGGTGGCGTCTCTGGTGTCCACTCGATTCATCAAGCTGACCTGGAGACTTCCCGCCGAGCCGCACGGAGAAAACATCACCTACTCTGTGTTCTACAGTCTGGACGGCACTAACAGGTTTGATCAAGATCTGGCTAACACATGAAGTACACATGAGATCGAAACTAAGCGTATTGATTTTGGTAGCTCACACGGTGAACAATTCATCTGTGCATGTCATGAGAGTTTAACACTAACATTGACATCTGAAAATGCACTTCCTGTTTGTTTTCAGTTAAACTGGCAGATTAGGTCTGTCTGAGGTATTGGGTGTGGCTTACGTATTAAACCACACCCCCTGCAGCTGTCAGTTTTGACAACAAACAGAAATGGTGAGGAGGAGGAGTCTGTTATGTTGTAATGACTCTACACAGACACTTTTGTCAGATGTTTCTGAATTAAACACCTACTTTACTACATCCAATCAGCTCGCAGTAGAAAAAGCAAGCCACGCCCACTGTTTTCTCATTTAATGTAGGAACTGTATCACAATATGGAAATAAACAAACAGTTGCAGCTTTCGATTCATGTGGACTTTAAAGGGATAGTTCACCAAAAAATGAACGTTTACTTCCTCATTTGGTTCCAAACCTTTGAATTTCTTCTGTTGAACACAAAAGAAGATAGAATATTAAAAGAAGATATTTTGAAGAATGTTGGAAAACTAGCCATCGACTTTCATAGTAGGAAAAAGAAATACTTTAGTTGTCAATAGTTGCAGGTTTCCAGCTTTCTTTAAATTATCTTCTTTTATGTGTAACCATTCTTTTGTTTCGAATCTGTTAAACCCAAAAGAAGATATTTAGAAAAATGTTGGAAACCGGTAGCCATTGACTTGTATATTATTTGTTATTCCTACTATGGAAGTCAATGGTGACAGGTTCTCTGCTTTCTTTAAAATATCTTCCTTTATATGTAACCCTTCTCTTGTTTCAAATCTGTTAAACCCAAAAGAAGATATTTAGAAAAAAAAATTGTTACCGTTGACTTCTATACTATTTGTTATTCTGACTATGGAAGTCAATAGTAACAGGTTTCCAGCTTTCTTCAAAATATCTTCTTTTGTGTTTAACCCTTTTCTCTTGTTTCAAATCTGTTAAACTCAAAAGAAGATGGTTAGAAAAATGTTGGTAACCAGTGACTTCTATACTATTTGTTATTCCTACTATGGAAGTCAATAGTGACACTTTCTTAAATTATCTTCTTTTGTGTTTAATCTTTCTCTTGTTTCAAATCTGTTAAACCCAAAAGAAGATGTTTAGAAAAAAGTTGGAAGCCGGTAACCATTGACCTCTATACTATTTGTTATTCTGACTATGGAAGTCAATGGTGACAGGTTTCCAGCTTTCTTCAAAATATCTTCTTTTATGTTTAACCCTTTTCTTGTTTTAAATCTGTTAAACCCAAACGAAGATGCTTAAAAAAGTTTTGCAAACCATTTACTTTTAAAGCATTTGTTATTCCATCAGTGGAAATCAATGGTTACAGGTGTTCAGCTTTCTTCAAAATATCTTCTTTTATGTGTAACCCTTCTCTTGTTTCAAATCTGTTAAACCCAAAAGAAGATGTTTAGAAAAATGTTGGAAGCCGGTAACCATTGACTTCTATACTATTTGTTCTGTTCTGTACTATGGAAGTCAATGGTGACAGGTTTCCAGCTTTCTTCAAAATATCTTCTTTTATGTTTAACCCTTTTCTTGTTTTAAATCTGTTAAACCCAAACGAAGATGCTTAAAAAAGTTTTGCAAACCATTTACTTTTAAAGCATTTGTTATTCCATCAGTGGAAATCAATGGTTACAGGTGTTTAGCTTTCTTCAAAATATCTTCTTTTATGTGTAACCCTTCTCTTGTTTCAAATCTGTTAAACCCAAAAGAAGATGTTTAGAAAAATGTTGGAAGCCGGTAACCATTGACTTCTATACTATTTGTTCTGTTCTGTACTATGGAAGTCAATGGTGACAGGTTTCCAGCTTTCTTCAAAATATCTTCTTTTATGTTAAACCCTTTTCTTGTTTTAAATCTGTTAAAACCCAAAAGAAGATGCTTAAAGTTTGCAAACCATTTACTTTTATAGCATTTGCTATTCCAGCTATGGAAATCAATGGTTACAGGTGTTCAGCTTTCTTCAAAATATCTTCTTCTGTGTTAAACGCTGCCTTTATGCCTTTAATATGAATAAGATTGGCTTATAACAGCTGTCTTTAAGTGTCATTCACTCATTTTGCATGCGAAGATGACATTGTCTTATGACATAACTGTCATGAGGCCATTATATTTGTGTCATAAATGTTTTTTAAATCTTTTTTTTTCAGTGGAACAAACTTAATTTGTCATAAATTAATTTATCATGTGCTTGACTAGCAATGCTTCATCATTTAGTCATCTGGTGTTATTTTAGTCTGACGTTAGTGTTGTTTTGTCTGCAGGGAGCGTGTGGAGAACACCAGCGCTCCAGGAGAGATGCAGGTCACCATCCAGAACCTCATTCCTGACACCAAATACAGCTTTCGGGTGGTCGCATCCAACGCCAACGGCCCGGGCGAGAGCTCTGCCCCGCTGACAGTGGCCACCCAGCTAGAGGGTAAACACACACACACACACACACACACACACACACACACACACACACACACACATACACATACATTGAGGTTTTAACACAGCAGCCTGCTTGTTCACCTGACGAGCTGGATCAGACGATCTCTCTGTATTTTCAGTTTTTCGTCTGGCTTAAAAACACTCTGTGCACAAGGTTTAATTGTCGTCCAATCAGAAGTTATTCTTGGACTTGGTTGGCCGATTCAGTGTTTTATGGTTTTGAGAATGTCGTTGTATGTTTGATTGTTAATGGAATTAGAAGGTATAAAGGAGGTACAGTATAAATAAATAAATAAACAAATAAATAGTTATCGCTGATTATTAATTTGATGTATTTTTGTTTTTATTAATTCAGTTTATTATTATTTTTTAAAGAATATTCAGATTGATATTGAAAAAATATTAAAATGTATTAAATTGAATTAATAAAAACAAAAAAATATATAAAATTAATAATTAGAGAACTATTTTTTATCTTTTAAATCCAATTCAAATAATGTTAAATCAGATTTTGCTGCATTATTTTATTTGTATGTCATATTTAAGGATAAATTTGGATGTAAATCGGATGGTTTTGTAGTGAAGGTCATGTCATATTATATCAAATAATCTCTAGCTTGACAACTCATTCAGTAAGTTTCTATCTTGTGTGTTCAATATATTTAGAGACATTTATTTATATTCATACATTCATTTATTTTCCTTCAGCTTAGTCCCTTTATTTATCAGGGCTTGCCACAGCAGAATGGACCACCAACTTATCCAGCATATATTTTACACAAGATGCCCTTCCAGTTGAAACACAGTTCTAAGAAACATCCACACACACTCATTCCCACACACACTCGCACACTACAGCCAATTTAGTTCATCAACTCCCCTATAGTGCATGTGTTGTGGAGGAAACCGGAGCACCCTAAGGAAGCCCACGCCAACACGGGAAGAAACTTGCAAACTCCACACAGAAATGCCAACTGGCCCAGCCGAGGCTCGAACCAGCGACCTTCTTGCTGTGAGGTGACAGTGCTAACCACTGAGCCACCGTGCCTGTTTATTTCTGTTAAATATCCAATTCAAGTTATTGCTAATACAAGTATAATGTGTTGTTTTAATGTGACGATATATTAAACTTTAGCTCAACAACATGAACAATAACATTCTGTCATATACTGTACAGCTGAGGACAAAATGATTCGCCCTCCTGTGATTTATTTATTTATTTATTTATTTTTTATTTTTTTTTGCCTTTTCAAATATTTCCCAAATGATGTTTGACAAATTAAGGAAATTTTCACAGTATGTCTGATAATATTTTTTCTTCTGGAGAAAGTCTTATTTGTTTTATTTCGGCTAGAATTAAAGCAGTTATGAATTTTTTGAAAGCCATTTTAAGGTCAATATTATTATCCTCCTTAAGCTATATTAGTTTTGGATTGTCTGCAGAACAAACCACTGTTATACAATAACTTGCCTAATTACCCTAACTTTACTCTAATTAACCTAGTTAAGCCTTTAAATGTCACTTTAAGCTGAATATACTAGTGTCTTAAAGAATATCTAGTCTAATATTATTTACTGTCATCATGGCAAATATAAAATACATCAGTTATTAGAGATGAGTTATTAAAACTATTATGATTAGAAATGTGCTGAAGAAATCTGCTCTCTGTTAAACAGAAACTGGAGGAAATAAACAGGCTAGAGAATTATTCTGACTTCAACTTTATATATACACATAAAAAATAGTTTTACTGCATCACTCACACACACACACACACACACACACACACACACACACTCACACATGTCTGCCAGCTCTGAGGTTCCTCGTTCTCCAGCGGCCGCTTGTTTTCTGTCCGGCTGCAGGAGTGTAAACATGCGGATCTGTCAGGAAGGTTTTGCTGGACACAGGCGACTAGTATTAAGGAGACGAGAGCTCAGGTCTGGTCAGAGCTGTCAGGAAAGAGGCTTCTGTGAGCGGATCTCAGGAGAAGCCAGTGGAAACTAGCGCCGCACGATATTGGGAAAAACTCACATTGCAATATTTGATCAATCTGAATGTAAATAGGATGGTTTGTGGTAGTAGAGTTCAAACCAAATAACAAGCAATGAATGCTGTTTGGTTTTTCTGAGAGTCTAACAATATTCAGGTGCACAAATTCAATCATACTCTCAGAAATAAAGGTGCGTGAGCTGTCACTGGGATGGTACCTCTTCAAAAGCTACACGTTTGTACTTAATATATATATAAAAAATATATATTAAGTGCCTACAAATTTTAAGAGTAACACTTCTATACTTTTTGGGTACTAATATGTACCCTTGAGGTATTGTTTTTGGGCCTTTTAGGTACAAATTTGTATCTTTTGAATAGGTACTACCCAAGTGTGCCGCAAGCCTACGTTTGAGTGAAGGTTTCGGCCGTTAGATCGCCCCCTGGGGGCTGGCTGCAGTACAAGTCATAAAGCCCGCCTCCTCCGTGTTAATGAAGGAGACTTGAGCCCAAATAAAAAAAATTATTACACTTGCAATAAACTGTCCCGAAAGATAGTTCTGGTGGATTAAGGCACTGGTTATTGTGCTGAAATAGGTGCAGATCCTCATTTTTGTAAACAGTTTGTTTTTAGCAGTAATTTAATGCTGGGCGTGTCATCGTGATTGACAGCTGTGATTGACAGTTTCTCAAAGCAGCGCGTCTGAGCTTCGGCAGGAGACTGAAATGTTACTATTCGATTTCTGTGTTATTTTACCATAACAAAATGAGTTCAGCAGTAAACTACAGTTTCTGACATACATGATCCTGGTGGAACACTGTTTATTCGCTAAGTTCAGGGCTTTTTTCGGGCTTTATTAGTTTGCTGATACACGCCTAGCCACCCAGATAGCAAAACACAGTTCCGGCTAGATTCTCGCCTGCCGGAGACTTATCTCTTAGAGCTCAGACTGACTAATGTTACCTCTGCTGGACCTACTCCGGATGCCTGGACTCACTAACCAATTCCAGCCCGAGTCAATCGAGCCAGATGCGGCGGCCGAGCGAGCCGGCGCTGCCGCATGCGAGCCGGAATCAGCCCGCGACGCCGCGAGTAAGTTATGCGCTGCGGCCTGGAGCTGGCGCGATTGAATATATAAAACCCTCATATTTGTTAACGTTATTACATCCATTTGTGTTGATATGACAGCAAACGCATGCTGAGAAGTTCGGGGGGCGTGGTTGATTTTACATAAAGCGTTTGGTTGGAAGCTCGACTCTGCTCATTTTCGAGGCTCCTCCTCTGGCTCCATCACAGTCCTTCTGCGCATGTCAAGGCTCCAATTTCAGCTGTCTTTTGCGACAGTTTGTGCCCGTCAAGCAGGCGTTTTGCCCTCAAGGCGTTCAATGGGAAAAAGGGCTGTCACGTCGTCCATATTTTTTACAGTCATTGGTACTACCCCAGTGACAGCTCTCGTACCTTTATTTCTGAGAGTGTGTAAGAATACAGGTACAAATTAAGCTGTTACATTGCTTTCCAAACATTTTACTGTTTATAATTTAATTATAAGTGTAAATGCTTCCCAAAATATATATAATAATTAAGTATTTTGTGTGTATTTTATTCATGGCAACTCATCCAATTAAAACCTCGAGTCAGATCTTGTTTTAGAGACTCTGATATACAGTATCTGACTGAGCTCTTTATTTTCATGACAGTTTTATTATTTGATTTCCCTCTACAACATCCTCAACCCGTCTCTGATAAAGTTTGGGCTGTTAGTCTGCAGTTGAACTTAATCAAAACCTCTAAAATCAAAGGTCTTAGTCTTCCTGCTCTTCTCCTTTGACTTTACACGGACCAAACAAATGAAAGCAGTACAGTTTTCCAGGTCTTTCTAGGTCACAGCTCCTCCTTTTTCTTTACATCCCACTCATGGACCACAATGCATTTCACTCGTCAGAAGTGTGGATTTATCCTCAGCGGGATTTAGACGCCGCGATTCGCCGGAGCAGTCTTCTTTTAGCATGTGATATTGTCATTATTTAAAGTATCCAGCTGCGGTGGGTTGAAACGTGTCGTCTTTTGTCACTACGAGCTGTTGAAGTTTGCCAAAGCAGAAAAAAATCTAGTGTCAAACAAAAGAATAAAGAGTCTTCAAGTAGAACTGTAAGCAGTGGAAGAGACTGGAGAAATTACTTCAGTGGTCCCTTTGTGTTTCAAACACACACTTAAAGCTGACACACACACACACACACACTCGCTTGTGCACTCACTTCTTCATTCTCAAACTTTATGAAACATTAACTTCAGGGTGTTTTTTGTGCGAGTGTGTGTGTGTGTGTGTGTGTGTGTGTGTGTGTGTGTGTGTGTGTGTGTGTTCAGATTTGTACGAGTGACTGTAGGCTTCTGATGCTGTCAAATAGTCTTGTTGCGATTTAATAGCTGTAGTCTTTTTTTACAGTGTACACTACCTGACAAATAATAGATAATTATAATTAATAATTGTTACGGTCCCGACCAGTCTAGGGTTGGCGGAAACAATAACAAAAGTATGAATAAGTAAGTGAATTCAACTTTTAAATACTCATTTTAGGGGTTTACCCTTCTCTTGTCCCAGCTCACAATAATCACAACAAGTTTATCCAGAAATAACAAGGTTAATTTTTGTATTTCTTTATTTTTTTATTGGGGTTTAACAAGACAATACATTAAAGTATACAATACAGCATAGGAAAAATTACAGATTGTCTTATTTTTCCTATTTTACCACTATAAATAAAATTAATTAAATATATGAATTATTAACAAACAAATGAAATAAATGATTAATAATAAATGTAAAAATTTAATAAAAATTTAAAGAAATTCTTAAAAAAAAAAAAAAGATAATTATAATAAATGACAAGGTTTATTATTTAGACAACAAAAGCTCTCAGAAGCATCTCTTCAGAAGGGGATCCAGGCCAAAATAATAAACAAAAAGACAGCTAACTTGCAGGGAAATCATCCTAAATTACCTGCTCGATTAAAAGGGCACCTCAAATAAAATGACAACAAACTTCCCTTTCTCCCTCGCTGCCACAAACCAGGAGAAAACGTTTTAAAAGTAAATGGCGATTCCCAACCTACAGCTTTAATTTAAATCCAAAAATAATATATAGTTATAATACGTGAAAAAGCACACAGGCTCGGATCTAACGCCGAGCAGTATAGAAAACATTTAAATTGTGAGCTAGCGCAATCAGTCAGTCACACCACTAATTCAGCAAACAATCTGGGGCAGGAGATAGGAGACGCTCGGAGCAACAGCAGCGGCTACGGAAATTTGCGACCTGGGGTCCGTTCTTCGTACCTTGCTTAAATGATCCAAGATGATTTGGCAGATTCTGGATCTGTTCATCTTGATAGCTGATCTCTGGCTAAGTTGGTTCCTCGAACAAGTTCGTGAATCAGGTTAAAATGTCTGGATGAGCTGATCTGAGATCGCTTCGTGTGTTGTGAAGAACAGATCTATCCATGTTCGAAATCATGATCAGCAATGCAACGATTGGCTGATAGCGTAATGACATCATCTGATTAATATTCAATTATCCATGTGAGCAAAATGACATTAAAATTCGTAGTAAACGGTTTGTTAAATATATGACATGCAATAACTTTACACCTTGTTGTGGGCTGCATGCTCGGCCCTTACATGTGTCAAGAGCAATTGATTTAGTTTTACAGTTAGAGCGGATTTTCCTTATTAGAGTAGAATTATAGTATTATTGTAGCCGGTTTTTTAATCGGTGTAAAGAATAACTAGATGTTTACAAAAGAGTTTTGACATTGGTAAAGGCGTCTGCAACTTTTGTGAAGCATCAAATCACCGTCATATTAACTATCAAAACATGTTCATGACTGCATAAATGTATTATTGCTTTTAAAAGTCACATATTGTGTCTATTATCATACACAAATTGTACTAAAGCGATCTAAAAAGTTCATATCAATAAGTTTTCTCTTTGCACCACCAGGTGGCAGTCTTTGTACTTTCATTTCGGTATAGTTTTATACGTTTTATTAATATATATATATATATATATATATATATATATATATATATATATATATATATATATATATACATATATATGTGTATATATATATATATATATATATATTTATTTATTTATATATATATATATATATATATATATATATTTATTTTTATTTTTTTACTTTATATATATATATATATATATATATATATATATATATATATATATATATATATATAAATAATTTATTTAGATATATATATATATATATATATATATTAATAAAACGTTTAAAACTATACCGAAATGAAGGTACAAAGACTGCCACCTGGTGGTGCAAAGAGAAAACTTATTGATATATGTGTGTGTGTGTGTGTGTGTGTGTGTGTGTGTGTGTGTGTGTGTGTGTGTGTGTGTGTGTGTGTGTGTGTATATAAAGTAAAAAAAATATTTACTATTTTCCCAAGTGTATATAACTACTACTGTATAAAAGTATCAGAATTCTGCACATACTATCAGTATTATCTTTGCTTGATATGACCCGATCTAATCCTGTTTATATGACATGAGCCTGCTCCCGACCAGGTTTGAGCTACCAGAACTGTTGCTATGACCACAACTCTCAGATCAGTTTTGAAGAACGAAACGATCCTGGATCGTGTCAAATCGTCAATAACCAAATCCAGCTAACTGAGTAATCCAGGTACAAAGAACGGACCCTCTCCTCCAGCTTATATAGGCTCCCATTCAACACAGCTGGACCGCAATCAAGTGCAGCTCTGGAGAGAGAGAGACCTGCGCATGCTCCACAGTGCGCAACACAACATCAGTTCCAGATGCATAAACAAAATACAAATCTGTATATATATTTATATATATATATATAAATAATATTTCTATATATAAAATAAATGAACAAATAAGTATTTCGTTCTGTAACGTAACAATAATATTAATAATAATAAAGAATTATTCATTGTATATTGAAGGGATCACGATGTCAACATTGTGCATGTTCATTATTTAATATTGCCATATGTGTAGGTGACTGTATGTTGTCTTGTCCCTCAGTTCAGGTCCCGGGTCCGGCTCCCAATCTGCAGGTTGTGTCTGTGGGCTCGTCCACCGTCTCCCTGAGCTGGGAGAGACCAATCACTGGAAACGGGGAGATCCAGACCTACAAACTCTTCTATATCGAAAAGGGACAGGAGTCTGAGCAGGTCAGGATGGATGTGCGCTGAAAACAATACAGACGTTTGTGCTTTGGTACAAATATAGTTTAGATTTAGTTAGAAATGTGTATTATTGGTTGAGCTTATCAACACAGCACCATCCAGATTTGCATATCTGTGCATATTCAGTATTCAGCAACTTGGTCTGTTCTGATTGGGGAGAGCAGTACTCATTACTCTTACCAGAAAACTGCCGGTAATTTTCCGGAAAGGTCTGTATGTGTGACTTATGGTTTCTAAATATTAATATTTAGTAGATGATGCAGCACATCAACTGTATATCAAAGTACCTAAACACATTTTGTAGAAGTTCTTGAAATGTTCTAGTCAAAGTGCAGTTACAGGGGATGTAATCTCTAGTGTATTTCCTGCAGGACGTGGACGTCTCGGGTCTGTCCTACACCATGACGAGCCTCAAGAAGTTCACCGAGTACAGTTTTAGGGTGGTGGCGTATAATAAACACGGCCCCGGCGTCTCCACTGAAGACGTGACTGTCCGAACACTGTCTGATGGTGAGTTTCATCACTTCTGATGATTAAAGCAGGCACCATCCACCTTTACACTTCAGTTTACTGAAGAAAAACATATGCTAATTATATTTATATATTGCATAAAACATTTGCGGATAAAGCTGCATCTCCATTCAGTGAGGCAGAGAGGATAGAATCAGCACTTCCTGATGAACTGGAGCAAATATGAGACTGTTAATGTAGTGTAGTGTGTTAGGAGACGCCACTGTGGTGTTTATTCTTCTCTAATGAATGAGTTGAGTTTCCGAAGACGAAACACTATGAACACAATGCGGTGCTATTATAGGGGTGAGACGCTCTTTGTAAGCACAGACAGATGCTCAAGACAGTTCTGGAGGGAATAATAGTAGAAGAAGAATAATACTGAACCACTGTGATGACAGACTTTAGCTGAGGGGTTTTAGAAATGAGCAAAGCAACATATCAGATGATTTACAATGTGCTGGAAATTAGGGTTGGGCCGATAGACGATGCCATCGCCGATGGCCAATAGACAACACGATGCTGAGCCGGCATCGCTGATCCTCCGCCCCCGTCGCAAACCTGCTCGCGAAAAATACACACTTAGGCCCTGTTTACACAAATATGTCTTAGTGTTAAAATGGCATTTTAGAACGAAAATGATCCACATCCACACCGTGTTTTACCTAGCATTTCTGAACAGCCCTCCGTCCGCTGAAAACGCACATCACGTGACCACACACACACACACACACACAGTGGTGCTCACTGCAGAGTAGGGTTGTAACAATATACCGGTATGATGGTTTACCACGATTTGAACGTGCACGATTATCATACCATGAACAATTGCATATCAACGGTTTTAACCCTTAAAGACAGAGACAGCCGCCCGCGGCTAAAAATAAGTATTGCTCTTAAATGTTTAATAACTTTTGATCCGCTGATCCGATTCATACAATTCAAAGATTGACATAAAGAAGAGAATCTCAGCTTTCCAGTGGTGTATCACATAACATTCGCGGACTTTCAGAGGCTCCGGAATCAGTGCGGTTACGTCATCAAAATTTGACAACGCTGATTTGACAAAGAAACGCTCGTCACTGTGTCTCCGGACAAACCAGACATGATACATTGATGCATTGTCCCTCCTCCATGCCCAGATTGGTTCAAACTCGCTATATCACAACCAATAAGCATAGGTTTCGCTTTTGTTTGTGGACCAAACAATGAGCATTTTGAACAACACAGAATGAGAGATAGGCATACATTTCTGCGCGGCTAAATAAAACGCAAAAAAAAAGTTTTGCATGAAATAATTCTCATACTAAGTACTTTTGCATGCACAGCATCACAGAAACATGACAAAACAGTGACACAGCAAAGACGAACTGCTGCTCTTGCTGTTTTCAAAAGACACAAATGAAGGTGCAGCTGTTTGTCTGCATTGCAGACAACCATATCCAAATCCATATCCACAGACAACCATATCCATGCTGGCAAATAAAACCTAAGGATGTTCCATATTGAATCTAGTTTCGTTATGTAACTATTTATAGTATAGTAAATATTTATATCTATTTTTTTACTGAGGATTTGCACCATGTTTATTTGGACTTTATTTGGACTTTGACACATTATTTATTATTTTCTTATTTTTATTTGTTCATTGTAAGTAGTGTTGTTTATAATAACTAAAAATATATTATTTGGAAAAAGTCAAATTTGCTTCACTGTTCTATTATTTTGTAACATTTGTAACATACCGTATACCGCGAAACCGTCAAACCGTGGTATTGTTTTAGACGATTATCATACCGTAAAAAATTCATACCGTTACAACCCTACTGCAGAGTGACACAAATATACACACAGCCACGCGCTTCTCTCTCAGAGCTCCAGAAACAGAGAGCAGTGCACGTCTTTATCAAGGTTGTACCGCTGGATCGCGTCTCACTATAGTTGTTAAACGTGATATTCAGACATCCCAAGTCTATCGGAAGTTCCGGGAGTCGTTATGCATTTGCGGGACCAATGATGGCCGCAAATGTGTGATAATTTCCTGGAAATTGCGCGTCTCCCTCCCGGTCCTCAAATAAGTCACGCACCCTTATCACCCCTGGATCCCTCCTCGCTCTTCATACATGTCGCGCGCACTCTATCAATGGCCCTCCATACGATGCCAAATTGGTAGACATCGCCCAACCCTACGGGAAATGCTGCAAAAGTCCATTAATGCATCCCTGAAACACACATTTTATCATCACATCATCTGTTTTAACCATAGACTGTAAAATATATGGACGTAGTATCCATGACGTCACCCATAGGTTTCTAAAGAGCGCAAAAGAAGCCACATGTAGGCGTGGCCAACCGTCGCCATTTTGTTTGCGCGTCATCACACCCACGGCGGGATACCAAACAAGGGCAAATAGGCGGAGAATGAGCGGAGCTACAGACACCTGCTGGCATTTAGCTTGGACCTGGTTCAGACACACTTTACTTTAGGAGGAACGCTAAAAACTTTATCACCTGCGACTCGTTTGTGTTCTGACCACTTGTGCTTGGTTGTACACTATATCAATGAAGTGTTTAGACTTTTAAAAACACTGCTGTAATACACTGAGCAAAAAGAAAAACGCAAATTACTTCCAAACACTTCAGATATAGTCTGTGTTAGTTACTGTAAGACTATTGATGAACTCCAGCATAACACTGTATGACAACGCTTCAGATGACTGTTCTAGAGCCCACAGCTAATCAATCTGTCAGATTCTGGAGTGCATTACAGCTCTAAATATAAATATAAACGATAAATGATCCTAAATAAAACAAATACATGTATAGAGATGGTATATAAGTATATAACTTTACTCACATGGGAAACGGAGGCCACGTTAATGGTTTGTGAGCACAATTAAGTGCACTCAGCATGCCATGCCATCTAATAATTGTAAAAGTCCAAAAGGAAACTGTGTAAAGCCACATAAAACAACACAGAAATACGATAAATATGCCGAGTTCAGTGGCTAATCTGCAGGATTCAGCTGAGGTGACGTGACGTGACGGCGACCAGTGAGACCTAGCTGTCACTCAAGTGGCCACGCCCTTAATTATGCGAACTTAATATAATATAATTAACCCCCCTCACAGTTGTCATGAAGGGTAATATTAGCTGTATTAACCAAAATCTTTTTTTGTACCAGACTGTAAACACCTTTTTTTCTGCTGTAGAGTTGGCCATTCTAACAGTGGGCTCAATTAAAATTTGCTCTGTTTTGGAGCCAGGAGCGGCCAGGACTAGCGGAATTTCGGATGAATTGCAGTTTTAGTTACTTCCGTATTGGCTTCCCGAGGGAGAGCGGGAGGTTGCCGCTTGGTTTAACCTAAATCACATCACACATACTGATGAACATGCTGGAATTTATTCAGTATATGTGTTCCCATCATAGTTTACGGGCATTTTTTATTATCAGATAAAAAGTTTATCCTCCTTTGTCGCACAAATAAGTTTCTTTTTTTCCCAATTTTATTTTAAATTACATTATATCATTGTATATTGTATATAGTATATTGTACGAACATAAGTAGACATTTTTTTTATTTAACCAAAAGCAAACAAAGGAAAAAAAAAAAGCGCAACTTCAGAAAGATAAAGTTATAAGACTAAATTAATAAATAAAAAATAAAATTAGGAAAAATAGAAGGTAGATGCACCAGAAAAGCTCCCCAAATTTTTTCAAGGGTCCTTGGGGATCCTCTGACACTGAACAGGATTTCCTCAGGGGTGAATAAGTTTGTTGATCCAGTGTTTTGTAGATGAACAGTCAGATGATTTCCAGTTCATTTAAATGCATTATTTCCCAGCCATTGCAGCCTGAAGTTTTCAGGATTTTTTTATGATGAGATGTATCTGGTAGTTCAGTGTCCCCTTATATCCAGATTTTAAGATCATAACTGAGCTGGATGTCTGTAATGTAAATCAGTTTATGTATGTACACTACCTGACGAAAGTCTTGTCGTGGATCTCAGTTGGAAGAGCACAGATAATAACTTGACTTCTAGTTGATCATTTGGAAAAGTGGCAGAAGGTGGATTTTTCCCATGAATCATCTGTTGAGCTGCCTCCCAATCATCACAGATACTGCAGAAGACCTACTGGAACCCACATGGAGCCATGATTCTCACAGAAATCAGTCAAGTGTGGTGAAGGAAAAATCATGGTTTGGGGTTACATTCAGTATGGTGGTGTGAGAGAGATCTGCTGAGTGGATGATCAACATCAACAGCCTGAGGTATCAAGACATTTGTGCTGCCCATTACATTACAAACCACAGGAGAGGGCAGATTCTCCAGCAGGATAGCGCTCCTTCTCATACTTCAGCCTCCACATCAAAGCTCCTGATAGCAAAGAAGGCCAAGGTGCTCCAGGATTGGCCAGCCCAGTTACCAGACATGAACATTATTGAGCATGTCTGGGGTAAGATGAAGGAGGAGGCATTGAAGATGAATCCAAAGAGTCTTGATGATCTGGGAGTCCTGCAGGAAGGCTTTCTTCGCCATTCCAGATGACTTTATTAATCAGTGATGTGAGTCAGTGCAGAGATGTATGGATGCAGTCCTCCAAGATCATGATGGAGTCAGACACAATATTCATTCTGTCTCCACTGCAGCAGGACTTTATATTCTATACTGGACATTATTTCTGTTCAGTGACAAGACTTTAGTCTAAGCAAAGTCAGACCTTACTGTCCTGATTAAATCATTTAAAATCAAGGCATGATTATATTTTATTGTGCTCAAATAAGCATAATCTAGAGGCCTTTACTTTTCATATAAGCCACTTCTAATACCAAATGATCAACCACAAGTCAAGTTATTTGTTTGGCCACAAGACTTTTGTCAGGTAGTATATATTTTTAAAATCTATGAACATATTAATGTTTCCATTTCCGTGTTTTTTTTTTCTTTCTTTTTTTTGCCGTACTCCTAAATTCAGATAAATAAATGTGGATGGACACACACTGTAGCTATCGTCACTGTGATTCTCTCACTTTTCCCTTCTTGTTCTTCAGATATCATCTCCGCTTAGATGAAGATGAACATTGACGCAGATTTAAGAGTTAGTTGTTCTTAGTATTCATGAGTGTGTTGTTTTGGTGTCGGCGTCTCATCCGAACACTGAGGTGTGTAAGTGACGTGCTAACATGATCGCTTCACTTCAGACTTCACACTAAACAATTAACATGCAGGAAGCAGAAGCCCTCAGGAACGCTGTTGGGTTTATACTTTACTCGACTGTGAAACCACACGCTAAACTACTCTCTCTGTTTTCTCTGCTCTACACAACAAAATATACACGTTTAGTCTATCCGGTTCATACTAATTGAGCTTTTAGAGCACATCTACAGGTCTTCAGAAGAGAGAGGCTGTGAAAAATATAACAGCAATGCCAGAAATTGCAACCTGATGGATGAATTGTATTTTTTCTCAGAGTCGTAAAACAATTCTCAAAATAAAAATACTGTATATCTTTGCAAATGAGCAGTTCTAGTCTTCTTAAATGAGTATTTTCTTCAGCCTCACATGTTTAAGTGCTGTTATTTTATATTAAATGCATTGAAAATAACCTTTCCTTTGCCATAAAAGGGAAATTAATGAAGCTACACGCAGGAGTCTGAGAAAAAGCTCAATTTAAAAGAGATTTTCAGATGACACTGAGGTTTTTGCAGTTAAACTCATCTATATGCATCAGTATACATCTCTGTCTCTTTCTAATTTCTCTCTATATGTTTTCTGGGAAGACGGAGAGTGTGTGACAGCTGCTGGTGTAATCCACGCACGCAAGAAACACACGAGTGTAAACAATATAATCAAGTGTTTTAGTACCGCCGGCTCATAAACAACGGCTGCTACTGTCTCTAGTGTTCATTTCAACAAACAGGAGAATAGAAAGATGCAAATACACAGCAGAGTGTGTGTGTGTGATGAAGCTGTGTGTTTTGTGTGTGTTTCAGTGCCGAGCGCAGCCCCGCAGAACCTGACTCTGGACGTCCTCAACTCCACGGTGAGATCTGCTTTTATTAAAAGTGTCTTCTGCTTATTAGTGTGTTTAGTAATGATGTGGTTCTTGGAGTCTGATCACAGCAACCTTCATCTGCTCTCAGGGCCGGAGTGGGACTCCTTTTTAGCTCTGGAGTTTCAAGCCTTAGACCGGCCCACCTTAATCGACGACTGACTATATTAAAATAACGTTATTTCCAATTCAGCTTCTAATGACACTAACACGTCTATTTCAGGGACACAGCTGCTTTAGAACTTCAAATGTTTTGCATCAATTTGAGAACAATAATTCTTTATAGATGTCCGGTGCTTTGTAACGGTCGTCACACACACACATACACACACAAAAAAATGTACGCATACATAAGTAACCCAAACAGTATTATATATCAACACTAAAAATGAAAAGAAAAAAACTTATCCTGATAAGGATCGAACTCGGATCGGCGGCGTGATAACGCAACGTGCTGTTATGCTGTGTTCACACCAGACGCGGAACGCGCCGGTAAATCGTGCTATTCGCGCGTAAATAGCCGTGTGAACATTTGAGTTTACTCGCTTCATACGCGCGTCAAACACCGCTTCATTCGCGTGTCAAATTCACTTCAGAACAGACGCGGATTCGCGTGATGGGCAGGGCTTCTGTCTGCCCGAAGACTCTAGCTTCATAGCTAAATGGCTAACATGGAATTTATGAAGAAAATAACAGTGTTTATGTGCTTTATGAAGACTGAAAAACAGCATTGATATGTTTAGGGTCGTGTCTGAGTCCACTACATTCCTTCAGAGGTGCCTCCAGCTCTGTGAGCTCATAAACTCCTCCAGAAACTGAACCTGGATGACGGAGGCTTTCAGCGGTTCTTCTGACTGAGCCCAGCCGAGTTTGATGAACTGTTGTCGGTGAAGGCTGGAGGATTTCCCTCGGAACACCGAAAACAGGTTCTACGTCACAATCATGCCCCCACAAGAGCAAGCTTCTGATTGGTTAACGCGGCGCGAATGTACGCTGAAGTTCAGATTTTCAAAATCGAGAGATTTGCGCAAAACGCTTGTTAAGCACGTCAAACGCGCAAAAAGCTCAATTCACCCCGCGCCATTCGCGCAATTTGCGTCATTCGCGCCGTGCCATTCGCGCGTTTCGCGCCGCAGGATGTCTATACGCGCGTTTGCATAGACTTAACATGAAAATCACTCGCGATTGACGCGCGTGCCGCGTCTGGTGTGAACGCAGCATCAGGGTTAGATTTCTAATGAAGTTATGTCAGATTTATTAATGTAGTGAATCAGCTGATTTTTTTTATTGAGCTGTTGTAATATTCATTAATATTAATTAATATTCACTTAGTTGCCGCTGTTTGGGGTGGAATGATAACTTAGTCACATCATCATTAACCTGCGGGCTGCATTTTGCTCACGGGGCTGCGAGAAAATAAATAAAAAGAGCAGGGCTGCGGCAAAATAATGAATAAACATACAGTAGTGTGGCTATGGTCAGATTAATAAATAAATGAAAAAAGTGCAACTGCTGAGAGTGCAAGAAGCTAGGAACACTGACCCTCGTGGCCAAAAAATGGACCGGCCCACTGGGAATACTCTCGGTGCTCCCGATTAGCCAATCCGGGCCTGTCTGCTCTACAGTGGGAGAATTACTACAGCATGAAAGAGGAATAATAATCAAGCAAAATAAGGTTTTTGATGTGTAGTTAATACTTAATCATTTAAAAAGTTTTATTTCGTATTAGTTTTTTTTAAATATATATATTTTTTTACAAAAAAAATCGATTTTTAAAAAAAATTTTTTTTATACAATTAAGCTTTTTTAATGCCATCTGACTTTTTTCCAAAACTTTTAAATGTATTGCTTAAAGGAAACCTCATCTTCGGAATTGAAGCCTGTTATTTATGACTGAGTAAATAAGTAATTTTACTCTATTTTTTTGTTTTGTTTTAAAATCCTTTTTATGTTATTCACCTTGTATGAGTTTAAATCTTTTTTAATCCCTTTGGGGCAGTTCATTCTGACATGGTAATGCTTCACAAATAACAAGATTAACACACTTAATAAACACCAACACTTAATCAAGTAAATAATCGAGTAAATAAATCGAAGTAATCATCAAGTAAATAAACGAAAACTGAAGAAGAAAATAAAATAAATAAATAGTAATAATAAATAATTTAAATTAATAATAAATAACAATAATCCATTGATTAACTACATTTATTATGTAACCAAATTGCTTCAGGCACAAAAGAAAATTTGGGGCATCTAGAGGGGCATCCACTCAAAATCTTTGTTCAATACCAGTCGATACTGACATTTTGAAAATGTCCATTTCCCGCTAACATTTGAGCGCGTTCTTAAACAGCGCTGATTTGCCATAGTGTTCACATGCTCAACAGAAATGACTGTGATTGGCCGTGAAGGTCATCAGTTCACCGAACTCACCGCTGTTTACTGAATGTAACCACAGATACTGGGATACTGGAGCGTTTTAAAGCCGCGTCGATCAGCTGGTTTGTTTGTAAGCTGACATACGAGCGATCGCTGATGAATCGTGGCTTTAAAGCGCTCTAGTGTCCCTGTATCTGTGCTTACACTTAGTAAACATTGGTGAGTTCGGTGAACTGATGACCTTCACGGCCAATCACAGTCATTTCTGTTGAGCATGTGAACACTATGGCAAATCAGCGCTGTTTAAGAACACTGCTTAGATGTTAGTGGGAAATGGAAGTTTTTAAAATGTCAGTATCGTTTGGTACTGAGTTCCAGTATGGTGGCAGCACTAATTCCTCCTGTTATTTTATGTGCCATCCTCAACACCTGCTGTTCATAATAGGATTCAATACTTCACAGGGTATTACCATAGCACAGGTAATACCATATACATGCTCTTTGAATCCTTTATACTTCATATATATTTTTAAATGCTTATTTTTTTAGAGCAAGACTTGAACAAAAAAATGAGGTAATGTGCATAACTGTCAAGGAAATAGTCAAACATTTTTTCTTCTAACTTAACTTTAAGAACTATATAGTAAATATAGAATAAATTGTGCTTTGTTGTCATAAAAATAATGAGCAGAATCTAAAGCAGCAGTCTTAATAGTTCCCAAAGTAAACGGCTGAGTTCCTTACACATCAGGAGTCGCCACAGTGGAATGAACTGCTAACTATTCCAGCATATGTTTTAAACACCTATACACTCTCACATTCACACACACACTACAGCCAATTTAGTTTATTTAAATTACCCTACAGCGCATGTGTTTGGACTGTGGGGGAAACCGGAGCACCTGGAGGAAACCCACACCAACACGGGGAGAACATGCAAACTCCACACAGAAACGCCAACTGACTCAGCTGGAACCAGCGAGCTTCTTGCTGTGAGGCGACAGTGCTAACCGCTTGGCCACTGTGCCACCCATACTAATGCTATGTGTAATATATT